CAAATCAAACTAACGTCAAAAACTTGACATGACGTTAATTTGATATAAATTAAACGTTAAACATATTGGCCCATATAGCTTAAATTAAACCATTTTTAGGGTAGGATTAACTTCCTACTTTCACCCAATCACAACTGGAAGAAATTGACGTCCAAACTGAATTTCAAATGTTGTTTTTTTATTCAGTGCCACAAGAACAAGAGGTAGGCTATGCTATTACAGTCATATTAATGACAACATTTATTTGCCAGTCCAAAAAAGTTAGGCTACATACATTTCTGTTTTTCTTTTAAAGTTTGTTTTCTTTTTCCGTTTGTTACAAAAGGTTTAGCCTATGTATAATTTAAAGTAATTTATAAAATGTACGCTTTTTTTTTTTTAGATAGATGTAGATATTAAAAATAAATAAAACAAATAATTGCCTAATGGTTGTGTTCTTTAAATTCCAAAATGTCATACTGAAAATAAAAATGCACAGCATACACACCCCACACTTTTAAAAATAAAGGTGCTCGCGATGCCATAGAAGAACCTTTTTGTCTAAACGGTTAACCTTTAACATCTGAAGAACCTTTCTGTTTCACAAAAGGTTCTTTGTGGTGAAAGAAGGTTCTTCAGATTATAAAAAGGTAAGAAAGAGATGGTTCTTTAAAGAACCTTTGACTGAATGGTTCTTTGTGGAACCAAAAATGGTTCTTCTGTGGCATCGCTTGAAGAACCTTTTGAAGTATATATATTTTTAAGAGTCCAGTTTCTGTTAATATAGCCTAAATCTTTCCAAAGTAATTCTGAGTAAACACAATGATAAAACAAATGAAGAATTGTTTCTTTTTTCTATCTACAAAATCAAAGACTTTCTTTGACAAAAATAACCGGTATATTTTATTTTTGAAATGTTGAGCTTAAAACATGCTTAACTGGATAAATCCTATGGTGAAGGATTTCTTTAAAAAACATACTCTTTGAAAATGTGTCAAGAACAATAGCAAAGTCTCTTGGTTATATGGTGATAGGCATGACTAAAGTAGCATAGCTCTGCATGTCATCCTTAGTCTAACTATATTTACAGTAGCCTATAACGTGTTGTTATTGATTCAGAGGGCATTGGGAATTCTCATTCTTCTCAACAAGTACTCACTTTGTCCAAGAGATGTCGCTATTAGAAAGGTTTACAACCACAAGCCAATGCAAACAGTCCAAGCATGTCTATTGGTTGAGAGAATCCGCCCAGGACAACCTCCTGTGTAAGACAGCTCTTTTAGAACAGCAACACTGATTTATATTAAACTGAGAATATTCGGGGATAGCCTACTGGTGATTTATTTTTCAGCTCTCTTTATAACCATGGCATTCATTCAACAGAGACCATAGAAGGCTATGTGGAGTCATGTATGCATATGTGCATATTTGATCACAAAAAGTTTATCACTATATATATATATATATATATATATATATATATATATATATATATATATATATTACTCTGAATGATATTTAGTCACATATTCTTACATTCCAGCATATTTACAAGAAATTTGTGGCACACAGTAAATAACTGATAGAGACTCCAAATTCTGAATAATTGGGGGTGGAAGCCATTCTTGGAAAAATACATAAAAGGACAGTTAATTTACAACCTCTCCCCACCCCCAACGCTCCCTCCTACCCATTTATCCAATCAGGCAGTGGGTGTTGTCTGTGTGTGAGCCAATAATGCCCAAGCACTTGCTCTCTGAAACACAACCATGATAAATCAGTGTATGTCAGTCTTGTGTGAAGAGACACCATGTGAGGGGGTTTAGATGGAACAGACCAGATCAGCATAACATAAATCATTTTCTTGATCTCTGGCCTCAGTTAATTCTTCTTTTATCATCACCATGCTGACTAAATCACATATTATTCTTATTATTTGCCTTTACAATAATCTGTAATGTATGTATTCATTTTGTTTGAAAATAAGCATCACTGCTGTCCACATCAGCATCACATTCCCACCTAAGGTAACTTCATTATTCTAGATATTAGCTGTGAATGAGAGAACTGAATATTGCTTAACATTTCTCTCTCTGAACGACAATGTTATCTTCTCTTATCCTGTTTGACTACTACTTTAGACTTCAACTTGACAATAGATCACCACTTATCATTGTGACAATCGTTGTAGCATAAAGCCTGATACACTGACCATTCGGTCAATCTATTTGGTAGGTTGTAAGTACAGTGAACCTTACAAATTTGCATGATGAGATCACTAAAACATTATAAACTATCAAGATTTCCATATAATTGTCTGCAGAGGTACTTTAAAGTAGAGTAGTTTAATCATACTGTGCGAAAATATGTTGGCTGATTTTAAGCCACACACAAATTAGCAGAGCCATTGAGAAACAGTTGCAACTAATATGGGGAGACAAAACAATGTACAATATTTATTTTGCAAGTTTCTGGTATTGATTTCTCATACATGGCTACACACAAACACCAGCTATGACATGAGGTCTGTGCTTCTCTCGGATTACAGGTTTTCAACAAATACTCTTTCTAAAGCTTGTTGTTAATATTTGCTTATTTTCCTAACCAGACTGGGGGCCAATTTGTACCAGGTTCCATGGGGATCAATCCTAATCTTATCTTCTGTGCAGAGTCCATTGGGGTAATATGAGCTCAATGTAAAGGTTATGCTGCTGTGTATTCAACATCAGCAAAACCCATATTGTCCACTGTAGGTACTGTACAGCTAAAGACTATATGTATGCAAGTATGGGGGTATGGCCATAGCCAGGGTTTGAAAATTAGTGAGGTCTGGGATGGGGTTAAGAATTGTGCTATAATAACCCTTACAAACACAACTCATTATATACACGAATCACTTCAAAGGAGACAGACATGATGTTTGTGAAAGATGTTTTCTTTCACATTGTTAAATTATATGATGAACATTGTTAAATTATACCATATTTATTGCATCAAAATTTGTTTATATTTTAGGGGTGGATAATTTGATCAGTAGTTTATTATTCATGCAACAGTGCATTTTACTGTTATCATTAATAACCATTGCTATATAGATAATAACTTTGTCTAGTGCTCTTATTAATGTTTTTAGCAAGACTTTGAGAAAATGTAACTACTATACCGAAAGAAATAGCATAGACTTCTTCATGGCTAGTGTTTGCACATTTCATTTAATTTTCCAACCTACAGATCTGTGTAGCCTACTAGTGTTAAATGCTACTGTTTTTGATAACGTTTCTTACAGATAATATTATGATTTTTTTTTTTTGCCTTACCGAATGTGGTATCATGTCAGCAATAACCTGTCCGTGGGCTTTTTTGATTGACCGTAAAAATAATAAAAAACACAACAAATGTATTTCAAATCTTTTGCAAATAAGATAAGATAAGATAAGATAAATATATCGCTAACCCTAAACTACAACTTAAAAACCACAACAAATGTAGTTCAAATCTTTTGCAAATAAGATAAGATAAGATAAATATATCGCTAACCCTAAACTACAACTTCCCACTTGTTAACTTTCTAAAGTGTCAAATAAAGTGGAAAAGACAAGACCAATGCTTATAATAGCTGAATCTGGCAACACGTAGGCATCCTCAATCACAATAGGGTATATGTCGAACATCACCTGACAAAACAGGGCTGCGTTCAGCCCCGACAAAAATGGTGCAAAACGTCTTTTAAACGGAAACGGTGGTGAGTTGAAGCATAGACATAATAAATACGTCTATGTGTTGAACACCCTGTTCTACACCCTACGCAAGAGTTGCAACTATGGCAGCTGAGAAGGCCATTCTTTGTGCTCTTTTTGAAGAATTTTCGGAGCCTGATGAAATCGGTATAAATACGTGTTTAATACTGCAAAATATGCTCGATGTTACAGTCACTGCCCTTGCCGTCCAGAATAAAAGAGAACATGAAAGTGTCACTTCACAATACAATAGCAAAATATATAAATATGTACTGTATAGTATTTTTATGTTACATTAATCAGTGTCTAGCACACCTTCCTAAGGAAAGGAAATGGACCAGAAGACACACCGCTTTGAGCTTGAACTTGCCCCTGGTTAAGAGAATATGGAAGTCTGTTGCGCATAACCCCTATTCTCTCAAGCCTCGTTCACTCCGCCACACCAGCGGAGACGCTAAACATCCTTGTAAACTGTCTTTCTAAACATGCAGACACTCATATGCGCACATTCGTCATTCAGAGAATACATTTGATTTATGAACATGAAAAATGTACCGAGCTCCGGACCTAAGGGTAAACAGGGGGGTGGAGGAGGGGCCTGGAATTAAAACAAACCAGGACAGGAAATCAGGACCGTCTTGGTTTATTAGAATGTGTCATACAATCTTTCTGATAAAGATTTAATAAACTTTATTGCCCATATTCATTTTCAGCTGTTTGATTTGGAATATCACAGCGGGAACACATGAATTTAGCAATGACCTTGTGGCTGGTGGACAGGTGACAGGTTCCAGGGAGAAAATGAAAGGACTTTGATTTTGCTTTGTTATACCTGTATTAAAAGAAATAACATAATAATGTATTCAGGTTTTATACATTTGTGTGTATGACAGAATATGTGTGCTATATAATTATAATAATAAATAGTAGTAGTAGTAGTAATGCTAACAGATTACCAACACAAGAGTCTTCTTGGTTTATTTAGTTAATACATTAAGTTATAAATTGCAATTCAAAAATGATACATGTACTTATATAATACTTTATTAATGTTTCTAACTGAAAAAAGTCATTTTGAAAACACTGAAAACAAGTGTTTTTAAGTTATGTTTTAATGCTATAAGTGAGCTTGAATTATACCAATAATTATAATAGTATTATAAAATAAATAATCTGTTTCTATTCAAATATAGCTGAAAAGAATAAGAGATTCAAAAGTAGCGCTTGCGTTTCCTCCGCCCTCCTGACACGCAGAGACCTTCCGTCTGCTCGCGCGACTCCTCCAAACGCGCCGCTGCCTTTTAAAGCGCGAGACGGCATGAGCGCTGTCACTCTGACACTGAGCGAGGCAAAGCTCGGGAGCTTCCGTCGTCTCGTTCATTTACCCCCCATTTCGTTTTCCTTTTCCACCTCGTCGATAAACCATCGCCCTTTCATTTCTTCTTTCTCCATTGTACCGTAACTTTCAAAGCCCCTTATCGCCATGTACCGGTATTTTGGGGAGTTGCTGACTCGCGGAGCGGGGAACGCTCTGGCCTCGGGATGCGTCGAGTCCGCTCTGCCGGCTTCCTCATCTCTGCTGAGGGTGCGTCACTACAGCGATGCCGCTGACAAGGAAGATGACCCGAACTTCTTCAGGATGGTGGAGGGCTTCTTCGATCGTGGCGCTGCTATTGTCGAAAACAAGCTGGTGGAGGACCTGAAGACCCGGGAAACGCCGGAGCAGAAGAGACACCGTGTGCGGGGGATCCTCAAGATCATCAAGCCCTGCAACCACGTCCTGAGCGTGTCCTTCCCCATCAAGAGAGACAATGGAGAATGGGAGGTTATCGAGGGTTACCGGGCACAACACAGTCAGCACAGAACTCCCTGCAAAGGAGGTAAGAGATATTATTGTTTTTATGTCGTGCAGTAATAAGGCACAACAGATCCGTTTACGTGTGTTTTGCTCAACAAGAGGCTTCACAGCAGTGCATTCATGCTGACAGTTGTTGACATAATGACTTGCAAACCTATATGCGTTGACTTTTATTCATTATTATTTATTTATTAATGTTTACGGCTTTAAATGTGGTATTTGGGTAGATTTGACAAGTCCTACCCTTCAATAATTAATAATTTTGACACACCTTGCACCTGCACAGGTGTATGTATTACCTGGGGAAAGAAGCCTGACACTTTTGCACTGAATCTTCTGCAGTTAAAACTTTAGTTTTTAACTTGGCTTTAGTCAGATGAAAATAACAATTAGTCTGCAATGTAAGTCAATTATTTTGTCAAATTAAGTGCTTCAATATATATAGAGCACAATCCAAAACAACAAAAAAAGCATAATTCGATTTTAAGATTTTTGCAGAAGACCTCTATAGCTGAATCACAGACTGATATTCAGGACAAGACCACTCTTGCTTGTGATTGTTTCTTAATAAACAAACAATATGTTATTATAATTACAAACACACCAAACGTTAACATTTTACTATACAATAATAATAGATTACTGTCTTGTCTTGTGCCTTGGTTTGTTACATTTGTTTTTGAATAAATCTGGTTTTTGACCTCAGAATATGCTTCCTGCTTGACATGTTTAGTCATTAATGTGAACATCCCAGTTTCAACTGTTTATACTAATTTGCAGCTGATTGTACCCTTATGCCAAATAAGGGGTTTATGCCATACCGAGGCACATCCTCTTGTTGTAAATCATGTGAGGCCCACAGAATCACATTAATTCTTCACAGCAGATGTTAAGAAGCAGTGGTCATCAAGAGATTGAGGCTGCAAAGAGTGGGAGGGGGATGTTATCATGGCACTGCATTGTGGGTGATTTGTGGGGTGACGTATTGTGAGAGAGAGTTGTAAGGGTGGATATGGGGGTGGGGCTCAGGCGCTCTGGTTCATCATCTGTGTGACAGGACCACTCTGCTCACATTTACACATAGCATTTGGAGACTCACCAGTGTGTATTTGTTCTTATGTCAATGCTCCACCTTAGATTATAAGTTAAAGGTATAGTCCATCCAAAAATGAAAATTCTGTCATTTACTCACCCTCGTGTAGTTAGTTAGTAAATGCATGTTTTTGATGTTATTGTAAACAATTCATGCTGGCACGTGTTTTACTTACCACCCCTCCAAGGTCATGATCATCTGCCTCCATATTTAAATCCAACGCCCGCATTTCAAAATCCTTGCATAAAATCCTTACCCTACATTTGATCTTTTTCAATAATACATTACACTCGAATATACGCCACAATATGGAAAATAACATATCTGTCGGTATTTCCGTTTCATCACAACTTTAATGAACACCATCAATGTGATTCTGATAAGACCAGTGCTAATAAGCATCTAATTTTAACAAATTATTTTCTCATCACAAACCAATGCTGGTTAGCAAATTTCTTAAATTGATGAAATTCCAAGTGTGCATACTTTTTAAATATCATGCACAAAAAAACCTCCTCAAATATTGCCTTTTGATGGGATGTGCTCAGGTTTTTAAGATTAGCAGACACAAAACAGACCACCTTGGGTAAATCACGATGAATCAGAAAACCAGCCAATCACATACACTCACTGCTCGTGAATCATTTTGCGTGTTTAGGTGGCATGTAGTTAAAATTGGTCAGAAGTTAGCAAAACTGCCAATATTAATCGCAGCCCCTTTAATCATTCATTCGACGCAGACACTTATTCTTCATGGCTCAAAGACTACCACTGACAAAAGTGCTGTGATCGACATTATCTATGTGTAATAGACAAGATTAGGTACACATTACAAAGTACAAGAGCAATTCAGTCATCACACACTGTCAGCTAATGGCTCAGTGCATTTCATCATCTGTTAGCCAAAGGCGTGCACGTGAATGTCTGAATCACTGGATCAGCAAAAATGTTTGGCTGCATATCCTTTATGTGCGAGACTAATGGAAAAAATTTGTGCAGGAAGTGCACATCCTGGTTATGATCAAGCACATTTGGCTCACTAGGGGGAGTTGAAGGAGATGCTGGAAAGGTTTCCTGTGTGTGTGTTTGTTTTTTTATTTATTTATTTTTTTCTTCATCCTTTGGATACAGTAGTGATCTATGCTGAGTCATTCCTCCGCTCAAGAGCCCCCACCATCTCTCTCGCATCGTTTTCCCCTCCTCTCTGTGTGTATAAATGAAGACCATTTCAGCTATAGTGGAAAAAGCACATCTGTTCAGCTGGTGAGCTTTTAAACACAGACAAAATGACGCCTAGAGGGACTGATTTTCTTGGTTTTTCAGCTATAAAAAGACACCATGTTCAGTGGTTTAGTTCCGTATTTGCCTGTATGTTGGCAGCTTTCTCACTTGTATTATGAATATTAAATATGATTAAACATTAGAGCACATAATTTCACTCATTTGGATTTGGACATTCTCATTTGCATTTACAGAAGCATTGTGAACTAATACAGTCATTAAATATCACAGATTATTCCCAGTCTAATTTTCTATTTTTTACTGCTTTTGCACTATTTATGTTTATTGTAAAAGGGATTGATGCGTCTGCCAGGCTGTGTGTGCAGTATGTGTCAGAGACAGACACACTCGTTCACACAGTCAGGCAAGATTGATGATGCAGCCAGGCAGAGGAGCGGAGTCATTGCAGCCTCTGGTCCAAACACACACACATACTTACAAATACACAGGACTCCCCCATTACCTTTCCCTCTTCTCTCTCAAGGTCAGACAGAACATTATGTACTTTCCATTTATTTTATTTTTTAAATTTATCTTGTGGAAATTTTGGCCATATCGTCCAGCCCTAGTGTAGCATACAGTATGCTTTATTAGAGACACAGTCTCTGTGCCCTTTGAGGTCACATCCATTCTGTGGCTTGCTTTAGGAAACCAACATTTGGCACCAGCTTCTCTAGAAGGGAGCACCTGTCCTAATGGAGCGTGACCAGAGCACACAAGTTGAGCTGCAATTTTAGCTGCATAGCTGGAAAAGGTGACCCGTGTCCTTTGAACATGAACTGGCACAAAAAAAAAAACTTAAGTCTCAAAGTGGTCTTGGTTTATTAATAAAGTGCAATGTTAGAACTTGATCTAGTCTTCAATTGTGCAGTGTAGTTTTCGTATTCTGTCCTGTTTATCCTCATTCAATTCAGCATGAAGACACGGCTAAAGAAAAAAAACTGGTCTGCATAGCTTCAGAAAGTCTGTTTGTTTAAGCCCATTGTGTGTGTTCTTGGTGTTTGCACAAAAAATTAAAATTAAAAGTCTCAAAGTGGTCTTGGTTTATTACTAAAGTGCAATGTTAGAACTTGATCTGGTCTTCAATTGTGCAGTGTAGTTTTCGTATTCTGTCCTGTTTATCCTCATTCAATTCATGTGAAGACCTAGCTAAAGAAAAAAAACTGGTAAAACACCAAGTTTTACAGAGTAATCCTTATTAGTGGGTAGAAAAAAGATCTGCTGAGGTTGATAAAAACCCCAGCATATGCTGGTTAGGTATGTTTTGAAGCACAGCAGCTGGTTTAAGCTGGTCCTAAGCAACTAGCTCCTGCTCAGGACCAGCTCATAACCTGCTTATTACCAGCTCAGGACCAGCTTAAACCAGCTCAAACCAGCTGCCATGCTTCAAAACGTTCCTAACCAGCATATGCTGTTTTTTTCAACAGGGTGGATGTCAGGAAGTCCTGAATAAAGAGTCCACAATATAAAGTTTCAATGTGTAGCAGTAGATCTTCCCTGTTGTTCTGTTTAATATTTGTAGGGTCTGTGGTCCTTTCTGATTTTTTTTATGGTTGTCATAAGTTATAATATAAACAAAAATATAATTTGAAAAAGAAATTTTTTATTTACTTTTTGATTTGATTTTTTTGTGCTGTTCAGGATAATGAATTGGAGAAAATCACAAGAAGATTCACCATTGAGCTGGCCAAAAAGGGATTCATTGGTGAGTTTATTGATTCATTTGTGCTTTTTGACTCCACTGTTTTGAATACCACACATGACCCCTACATTAAGGCATTCTGGAAAATATAAAACAATATATAGTTCAGTCCTAAAGTTTGGGTTAGTAAGATTTTTTTTTTCCCAGCAGGGACAAATTAATTTGATCAAAAGTGACAATTATGACATTTATATATTACATTACATATATTATATAAAAAATGTTTCAAATAAATGCTATTTTTTAAAACTTTATATTCATCAAAGAATCCTGATATCACTGTTTCCACAAAAATATTAAGGAGGACAACAGTTTTCAACATTGATAAAAAATAAATATGCACCAAATCAGCATATTACAATGATTTCACATGTGTTTCATGTATATCTACTGCATTTTTGATCAGATAAATGCAGCCTTGGTGAGCATAAGAGACTTCTTTTAAAAACAAGATACCTTTTGTAATATTACTGCATTGCAACAATTCTGGAGACATCAGGAAATCCTCAGGGAATTATAAACTTTGCCTCCTTGCCCTTTTAACCCGGAAGAGCTTCAGCACCTTGGTGCTGTAAAAAATAAGTCCCGCTGTGTGCTTCCCTGCCCCCTTTGGAGCTGTTTTTGGAAATGTATTCAGGGTGCAAGGCTGTCTGCATGGTTGTTTATCTGGATGCCTTCCTGTTTTCCTCGCCAAAGCAGCTGGTACTGGTATGGGGGGAAGGGCAGTGCACTCTCACAGCGTCAGAGTGGGCACTGAAACTCCAGCTCTCCATTAAAACAACACAAGCTGCCTACTCAGATAATTTGTTGCATTGCCTCTTAAAAGACTTTTCCCTGAGAAGTGCAATCAAGCATTCATAAGTACAATTAGCATAGTTCATAATAACTGATACGAAACCTGAGTGGTCCCTGTGCCTGGACACATGACCACCGTCTGCTTTCATGACACAATTAATGCTGACTAGTTGTAAAACTATCTTTCTTCTCTCCCTCCCTTGTTCTTTTGCATTCAGGACCTGGCATTGATGTACCCGCCCCTGATATGAGCACCGGTGAGAGGGAAATGTCCTGGATCGCTGACACCTATGCTAACACTATTGCCCACACCGTAAGCAACTGTCCATCTCTTATAACACTTAAATGATTAATTATTACATGCATAATTAAATTATTAACTATGCCAATAAAACTCCCATTGAGGTTTTTCCCTTTTATCACTTGTAGATTAATATGCCTAGCCTCTTAACCAAATTGAAAGGTTAAAAAGCATATACCATCAAGGATATCTGAGCAATTAATGTTACAAAAACAATAGTTCACAGCAATTAGTGTCTTCTGTAAGAAGTAACACTTTCATCATCATCTTTATCAGCAACCTCACACCCTTTGTTTGTCCATCTCTGATAGTGTTATGCTATCTATACAACAGACTGTGTAATGTTTACCTTTGTGGCCTAATAAATGGATAAGTCATAGCTTTATTTACACGGACAATAGCAACCAGTTTGCTTTCTTATTAAATATGTACATATTTTAGAGTGTTTTTCCTTTTTGTGATATGATTTTGGATGACAGCTTCAGCTAACACAGAGAGAGAACAAAGCTGGGTCATTGGAGTATGAAGATTCCTAAAGCCAAATCATACAGATTTTCTTTTAGTGTGTTTGCTGTGGTGCTTGTGGTCAGGGTTATTTCTACTAGAGGGCTCTTATCATAGTTAAATCATTTAATACAGTACTAGCACTATCACCATGGCAACAAAAGAATGGTCATGTTTAGTTCTTTTTTCTACTTTTATATGGGAGGGTAATAATGACTGTGCTAAACAATATCCAGCTTTACTAATTCTGAAAAGATCCTTTGGACAATAGAGTTTTGCAAAGTCAGAATGGGGAGAAAGCAAGAGTCCAGTCACATCCAAGCACACTGTCACCCTCGAAACAACTTGACCTCAGAATGCAACCTTTTATGTAACATTACCTTTTCTGTAGCCTTAAGAGATGTGCTACAAGCACAGACAAATATTTGAGACCCTTATAAAACTGACCTTAACTCTCATTTAGTTCTGGCATGTAAAATGTCCCATGCATATGTATTTTAAGCATATGTCCCATGCATATGTAGCTTAATAAAATCTGTTATTAAAATTATGATTAATAATTATTTCACAATATGGCTGTTAACAAGGAAGATGTTACATTTCTATAATACTTTGTCTGAATAAATGTAAAATAAAACACTAAAAACTATGTTTTCTTAATGCTACCAGTACAAATGAATTTAGTCATCAATGTACAGTATGAAAAATGCATATTCATTTTGAGATTTGCTGAAGATTACATTTAAAGTGTTAAGCATGTTTAAAGATGTACTTATCTAAAGGTATTTTTTACCATTAAAGTATTTATATTTTATAGTATTTTTTGTTTTCTCTTTAGCTTTAGATTTATATTTATTCCCTTTATAATTTTAGTAATTTTAATACTTTGAATAAAAATAGTTTTTCATCTTATATTTATATTTTATTTCATTTCCATTTTAACAAAAACAATTGTTAATCGTTTTAGTTTTAGTTAACTATATCAACATCGATCTAAATGTAAACATAGGGGAAATGAGCATGAAAAATGCAGTATCAACTGTCACTGACAAATTAAAAATGTTGCTTGTCCCAAAGCTGGTGTGTTTGAGACACAAGGGAAACTCTGTCACTGTTCTACAAGGGAACAGTAAATTATTGATGATATCAGTGGTTGAGTTTATAAAGGGCAATAATCACTCTTCACTAATACTGCAGTCTCAGCAGATTCGCATGTGCACAGCAGCAGTCGAGGGAAACGTTACATAAGCTTAGACTTATCAGACTTAAATGTCCAGCAGTAATGAGATACTTTGATTTCTCTTCTCAGCCCAGCAGATTATTATGTTGCATATGATGTGATTTGATGGCATACGTTTTTTTTAAATGACTGTATGCTTGTTCGGAGGTTAATTAGGCTGCTGTAATACATACAGTATGTTATTGAGATGGTGTCCATCCCCTGCAGTAACCTCTGCCCTGGCCACTGTTGTGCGTCATCTGTGAGGAGAGCACAGGTCTCCTGTCTCGATGCCGTTTCCTCATTCAGTGACATAAATAGGGCTACAGCAGCTGCCCTTGGGGAAGCTTGTAAGCTGCACTTAGAGAGTGACCCCTCTCACGTACCCTAACGACAGCACAAGACCCCTTCACACCAATCCAAGAGCTCTGGTTGTTAGTGTATCACATGTTGTCCTCTTCCTACCCTCTGAACAGCCCTGACTGGTGCTTGTGTTTTTGGATGATAAACAGACTACCAGTGTTGGCTGAAGTGTTGAGTTGAGAACCAAGCACTGGTTTTTATTCGGAACAGGTTTCATTAAAAAAAAAATACTGGAACTGAAAATTTTCCATGACATTCAGTTTCATTAATGGTTCCACATTAACGTGGACTTAAAGATACACATTCTTAACAGGTAATTACATTAAAAATTGTAATTAAATGTTACCGAAAAGTTAGTATTGTATAGTAAAATTAGAAACAGAATCAGTATAATATTGTTTATATTTGTTAAAATGTTCCAGTGTCATTTTAGTATCATATTATAGTTATGAATATTTTGATTTGTTAAAATGTTCATATATTCTGTTTTTATTTTCATTATAGTTGATATAGTAGTTTTAGTAATTTTGTTGTGTTTTTGTCATTTGACACGCCTATAGTTTTTTATTTCAGTTTTAGTACATCAAGTTAGCCTAAATGAAATGTTGCCATGGTGACTAACTGAAATAAGTTAAAAAAAATTTTTTTTTAAATTTAATGTCAAGTGACAAAAATATTTTTTTTTAGTTTTACAGTAGTTAACTATAATAACCCTGTTGTGTTTTTGAAATGTGTGCGTTACTGCGATAGAAAGTATAATACACTAATTGGCCCATTTTTTTCTTTTTTTTGTTTGTGTGTCTCTCTCTTTCTTTCTGTAGGATATCAATGCCCATGCCTGTGTGACAGGTAAACCCATTAGCCAGGGTGGTATCCATGGCAGAATCTCAGCCACTGGTCGTGGAGTCTTCCATGGCATTGAGAATTTCATCAATGAAGCCTCCTACATGAGCAAACTAGGCCTGACCCCTGGATTTGCTGACAAAACCTTTATTATTCAGGTATAAAAGACAATTTGAAGAGATTTTTAACTTCACTTTAACTAGTTTTCTTTACTATATTTGAATGATTGGTCCTTAGTTTTTCTATACAATAAAACTTCACTGGTAGAGTGAAGTAATGGCACTTTTCCACTGCATGGTACGGCACGGTACGGCTCGCTTTTGGTGGGTTTTTCATTACCATTTCAGCTGAGGTTCCAAGCGAGCCGTACTGTTACCAAAATGTGACGTGTAAACCCTGCTGATCACTGATTTGCCGGAGAGAAACTCCACTACCTGCGTCATTGAACTTGCGACACAAGACACTAGACCCGCTAGATTTAAATCAGCACAGCCAGCGAGGATCGAACGTAACTTTTTTTTGAACAAACGCAACCGATTCGAACGAGCGCACCTTTTTTTAAAGGGGTAGTTGACTGGGATTTCACTTTTTTAACATTAGTTAGTGTGTAATGTTGCTGTTTGAGCATAAACAATGTCTGCAAAGTTACGAAGCTGAAAGTTCAATGCAAACAGAGATATCGCCTTTTAAATTTCTGGCAGTTTAATGCCTACAAAAACGGCTGGTAGGGACTACAAAAAGTTACTTCCCGGGTTTGTAACAAACCCAGATAAACCCCGCCCTCAGGAAAAGGCAGCAAAGGGGGCGAGGCCATGCAGTGCTGCTTTAGAGAAGAGGAAGAGAAAACTAGACATGCACGTAAAAATCTATTCATATATGAATCGCGATTCTGTCTTCTAACGATTCTAATGGATTCACAAGTTTCACAATCAATGTTCTAAAGCAGCGGTTCTCAATACTGTTCCTCTCGTCCCCCTGCTCTACACACGCTCTGCATCTCTCTCTCTCTCTCTCTCTTATTCAGCTCGGCTCCAACAATGAACTGTTCAAAATTATACTCTTATTTTCACATAGCTATGAGAAGCATTAAACATGGACGCGCGTGCAGTTGCCGTACTGTATTAAAGCTTTAATCAGGATAAAACCGTATATTAAAAGCTAACATAAGCAGTAGCATTTATAAATAACAGCATATCTAAAAGTATGAGACAACAAAAAACATAGGCCTACCATTAAAAGCCGTGCTTGCACAGCTTCTGCATGATCCTCTTCAATCATATCCTCTGCTTCTCAATCGGGCTCAAACTGATAAGCGATATTAACGATGCCGTTGTTTACAATACAACTGGAGCACATGCCGCTGAGATGAGGGGCGGGATGTTTACACATGCACTAGAGGCGGTTTAGCCAATCACAACACATTTTGATTGTTTTCAATCAAAAACTGTTTCTATTTCTGAGGGCGGGGCTTCATAAAAGCAGGAAATGATCAGCGAGTTTCTCAGAGAAGGGACAGAGTGGTTTGGAATAAAGGTAAATTATGTGAAAAAATAATGTGTTTTTTTTTTAACAAAGCATTAACACATGTTAGACTGCACCCCATAAACACAATCAAGCCTAGAAAAAAAACTGTGAACCACCCCTTTAAACAACAAAATAATGGCTGTTTCGTGGTCTGTTGAGAAAGTACAGACATTCCTCTCGTTGATAGCCGAGGAGCGGATCCAGTGAGAGCTTGATGGGATGACGCAGAATGAAAAAGTTTTTCAGGAAGTCACGGCAATAGCGACATGTATATAATCCTGCCCACTCTAAAGCGGTACTAAACTGCAGTGGAAACGCAAACTGAGCCGAGCCGTGCCATGCAGTGGAAAAGCACCATAAGTCAAATAGAAATGTTTAGCAGAATGTTCATGCTGCTCTTTATCATACAGTGACCAGGAATTGTTGTGCTAAAAATGAAAGCAAAAGGCTATTGTATGACTTCAGAAGACTTTTTAAAGTCATATGGACTACTTTGTTGAAACATGTCTGCCACTGATCAGAATATGTTTTCATTTTATGAAAAGAAGCATCGTCAAAACGTTTGTTTGTAACTAAATGAGGGTGAGTAAATGATTACAGAATTTTCATTTTGGCCCGAAATAACCAAGTGACCGTATAATATGCTGACTAAATATTTTTTTGCTGACACAAAAAAAGGAAGAGTTAACCATATGTCAGCATCTAGTACATCTCAGTTCCTTGAAATCACATGCTGTAAGAATCCCACTGCAAATACCACAGACAACGGCTTTTCTTTACAGCTTTGAAATCAGTTGACTTTCCCATGAACTTGCAGGTTTATTCTCTAGGATTAAGATTTAGTTGTTTTGTCTTTGGGTTCAAATAATGAATTTCAGTCTTAATCACAGTGTGGTCGAAACTCAATTCAATCAGTGCAGCCCAGACTACAGAGGGAAGGGATTCTCATCGACTGTTGCTCTGGGATTACTGCCTCACCAATTACATTCTCTTTCTAAAGATTTAGTGCCATGTGTAGTGAAGAGACAAGAGAAGATGTTGTCATGTGTTATGGATTTAGAGCCGCCCAGAGAAGAGATAGCATAGTCATTAGTGTCAAACAAAGCCTCAGGAGAGGAGTGGTATGACTGCTTCCCGTTTGTCCTTTTGTGATATGAGCAGCCATATGCGTTTCCCCTTTTGACATGCACATGACATCTTCCCAGAAATACCTTTGATGAGGTGAATAGGCTTTCCAGTATAAGCTATTTCCAGTAATTTTCTTATAATTATGACAAAGCTGCTTGTTTTCAAACCACTTTTGTTAATAGAAACTAGGAGTATTGATATCAAATTACCATAGTTAATCATGATTCTTTTTGTGACTTATGACGCTTCAAGAACTGTATGTTCTTCAGCTAAAAGCAACAGTTATTTAAGAGGGGGAAATAAATATTTGTAATAATTTTTTTATTGTAATATATAAGAATTGCTTAGTTTACATAATAGTTTTGCATGTTTTTTAGCTTTTTGATTTGGATTAGAATTTGATTATTTTAACAAATTAATAATAATTTGTTAATTTTAATACTTTTTAGTCATCTTAAGGGCTCTTGGAAGTTTGAGGCCTGCTTGAGAACCGTTGATAGCTAGTCTATTCTGAATCAAAACCACACGGGGGCGCCATTTCCAAGAAAAACAGGATTATGTTTTCACCACAATTTATCCTAGTTTCCTATCCTGTCATGCAGGGTTTCGGTAATGTGGGTCTGCATTCCATGCGTTACCTCCACCGTTATGGTGCCAAGTGTGTGGGAATTGCTGAAATCGATGGAAGCATCTGGAACCCCAACGGCATGGACCCCAAAGAGCTGGAGGACTACAAATTGGTCAGTTAAGGGTCCATTTACAGTACAATTGCTTTTCTGAATCTCTGGTGAGAATTTGCCCCTTTTTCTGTACTTAAACTGTTTTTTGAATATGTTTCTGCTTTCTCTTTAGCAACATGGTACTATTGTGGGCTTCCCCAACTCTCAGCCATATGAGGGAAACATTCTGGAAGCTGAGTGTGATATCCTCATCCCTGCAGCTGGAGAGAAACAGCTGACCAGGAAGAACGCTCACAATATCAAAGCTAAGGTCTGACACCAACAGCATCAGCCAGATGTGGTTGCTATGCTTAAATATTCTTCACCAATGCTGAACGTATCTTTTTTTTATTGCTTCAGATTATTGCTGAAGGTGCTAATGGTCCCACTACACCAGATGCTGACAAGATCTTCATAGAGAGGAACATTATGGTCATTCCAGTAAGAGAACAACATTCTCTCAAACTCTGTCGTGCTTCAGGAAAATAGAAACAGGAATAATGATTTATATCTTTATGTGCAGGACATGTACCTGAACGCTGGAGGTGTCACAGTCTCCTACTTTGAGTGGCTGAAGAACCTAAACCACGTCAGCTACGGTCGTCTGACCTTCAAGTATGAGAGGGACTCCAACTACCACCTGCTGAGTATGTGTTTGTTGTTCTCTGTCACACGCTCCATGGTCTCTTTTTTCTTGATTCCATTTCCTTGCAACACTCCCTCCCTTTTGGCACTTATTCTTAACATGCAGGCAGGCCTAATGCAGAGCTGTGATCAGCAGGGTGTGGCAATGTTTCTTACAGGAGAGTTTGATCCACCCCTGCTATTGTGTGCTATATGTACTGGGTCACATGGCTTAGCTTCTCTTCGTCTCTCTCCTTGGTTATACCAATTTAATTGACATCCAGATGTCAAAGCCTGCTAGCCCTTCAAGAAATTATCCATTAATGTAAATTGCAGTAATTAAATGAGATGGAAGCCAGAGTATTGAAGAGATGTGTCAGTGTGACAGAAGTTGACTGCTAACAGTGGCTACATTTACATGCAACCAAATAATCTATTTGTAATCGGATTGACCGCTCAATCGGACTGAAAAGCCTTCATGTAAACACCTTAAGCGATCCGATTGAGCTCGATCGGAATGAAATTTGGATCGGATTGAAGGGGGTGGTTTATTCCTTTTCTAATACGATTGAGAGTGCAGGTAAACACTCGATCGGATTGAACCCCCGAAACTGAAAGGACTGCGCATGTGCAGTGACGCAGAAATAGCGAAATGAAGTATGACGCGCAGAACGAGCGGTTCTTCCTTTTGAATAAAGTGTTGTATAAATGCTTGTCCTGTCATTATAAAACTCTCCTTTCACTCAGCAACTGTGAAGTGGAGCAGGACAACCTCCCACCAATCCTTGTTTTGGATTCTCATCCACAGGCAACCCATTTGGGCGCGGGGAGGGGCATTTTTACTGTGTGATAATTAAATATGAGCAGCACGGCACAGCGGTTTATATGTATATTTATCCATAAATGGATAAATATTAATTCTGCTGTTAAAAACAAATAAGGAAACCGTGTAGGAGAGTGGTTATTATGTGCAAACAGTGAGAGACTCTATATTTGTGCAGTGTGTGCATGTAAAAAAAAAAAATCCCATTTGAAGCTTGTGACATAAACGCGCACATCAACCCGATCACTTTATTTAGCATTCATGTAAACACTACATTCAGATTCATCAATCGGAATGAATTCAGTCCGATTGAACCAAAAATTGTGCATGTAAACGTAGCCAGTGTGATTGTGTGGTGGTCCCTTTTAAGACAAATCAAAATTCCGCTTTAAGATAATTAACATCTAAAACATTTTTCAAAAGGGTGCTTTGTAAATAATGACAATTTGCACCCCTAAGTTGTGCTCAGAAACAGCATGTGCATTTGATCAAACATCACTCTTACAACCTTTGCTGAAACAGAGGGAATTTGAATAATGAATTTTTATCTTTTCTTTTGTCCAGTGTCTGTGCAAGAGAGTCTTGAAAGGAAGTTTGGAAAGCAGGGTGGCCCCATCCCCGTTGTCCCCACTGCTGACTTCCAGGCCCGTGTAGCTGTAAGTGTCCACAATGTTTTACCTTTTTTGGCTTGCGCACACACACACACACACACACACACACACACACACACATATACAGTATATATTCTTGAATTTTATTTATTCCTATATTCTATTAATGTTTTTTTTATTTATTTATTTATTTATTTATTTATTTTTTTAAACTAAATTTAGTGAATCATAGTCTGAGGAGCAAAACAATCTATAAATACATTTGGGTTTTCAGTCATCATACTGCATGCAAGTTTCAGTGTTAGCTAAAGTTGATATACCAGATGTTGACCACACTGATGAAATCGGATTTTTTTCAGACTCTTTTTTTTTTTTAAATATATGCATGTCTATTTATTTAATTTATTTTGTTTATTGTAATTTTTTGAGTGTACTTTTTATTTTTTTGGCATAACCATTTAGTGACTGTAGTCAGCAAAGCAAAAAAACAAAAAACAAACACATGTTGAGCTTAAGTTATCACTTTGGTAACTGATATTGATATACCAGATATTGACTGGATTTCATCGCTTACAGAATGACTGCAGTCAGTCTGTCCTAAAGATTGAATTTGAAAACAAATTGGATTTTTGTGCTCTGTGAACAAAGCTTTGGAGTTCTCTCCAAGATCAGCAGTTTGAACTCTCATGTGATGTTTGTGCATTGATGTGATGTGATGTGTTTGTCATACAGGGTGCCTCTGAGAAGGACATTGTGCACTCTGGTCTTGCCTACACCATGGAGAGGTCAGCCAGGGTAAGTTCTTTTATTGTCACTGAAAAGTTGTGCATATTGAAGCTGACACGCATAGAGCATTCAGTCATACTATCTGTAAAACAACACCAGGTAGAGCAGGAACCGCCCTTGACTCCACCTCAGCTGCTATATAACAGTGTTATATTTTCATAAAACAGTTGAAAGATAATTTTAACTCGTCCACAGCATTCAGCCCTCGCTTCAGGCAGATTTTAGTCTAGTGTGGTATGATTGTTGTGTAAAGAAAACCACCTCGCCCATTGCACAGATGTCGTTATTATTTATTGACGCTCTTTCTGTTTTTTCCTCCATGCTTTGTAAATGAGCTTCAATGTAGTCAAACCTGTATTCATGTAGTAATATTTTTTCTTTGCAGCAAATTATGCGCACGGCAAACAAGTACAACCTTGGCTTGGATTTGAGGACGGCAGCTTACGTCAACGCCATTGAGAAGGTCTTCAAGGTGTACAATGAGGCTGGCCTGACCTTTACATAAATGACCCAAAATTCCTTTTGCAAAAAGAAGACAAAACCGTCCATCAACCTCTCGATCCCTCTCTACAACCTTTTTAACATATCAGAGTTTACATCAGCCTAACCCCATTTCCTCTATTATATTACCCTCATGCTGTCATATCCCAGAAGCTCCGTCCTCATGAGTTTGAGAACTCTAAAGCAGTTTATTCGGTTCTGAGGCTGCTGTTTTCACTATATCACTCTATGTGATGTGGTCTCAAAACAAACTGGCACCAATAATCAGGTTTCTCAAGTGTGTTTAGTTGTAACTTGTTTATTTTGTCCCTGGTTTTTGTATTGATCTGTGGTAAACTAATGTGGTCCTCTTCAAATGCAACTGTAGCGCACTGTTTTAAATGTCCGTTAATTTGTCATGTTGGCCCTGTCTTCCTCTCGCCTCAAAATTTTACTTCAACTTGGTGCGTTTTTGTCCTGGTAGGTTTTATTTACTTTATTCTTATTGTTCGTTCTTGCAAACCATTTAAACATGGTTATTGCTACAGTAATGAAGAGCATTAAAGATGCCTTACACCTGTGAGAAGGAGTTTTATACTCGGAGGAATTATTTTGTCAATATTGTTCATGTAGTGCATCACACATAGGGAAACCCAGCCATGATTTGCCTCATCTTAATGTTTTGACCTAGAGATGTAATGAAGTTCTAGCTGACAGTGTGCATTTAGATTTTTTTGATCTGATGCAGTTCACACCCCATAGCATTTAGAGATCTGCTAGTTGTTAAACCTAGAGGACCCGGAGCACTTGGGCTTAAATGAGAGCTGGAAGTTGTTCACCAAGCTTATCTGCACCCATATCTGGAACTGTGTTTTGGAAATTTATATTGCCTTTTTTTGTTGAGAATAAAACAAATGATCATAATTTATTTTCGGTTTAATTTTTTTTTTTCAGTGTCACCAAAAAAAAACACATGTAGCACACTATTATGTAGACCATTTTCCCATTCCTGTCATGTCATTAATAGGATTGGAAATTAATTAAAATATTGGTAATTTAACAATTGAGTGAAAATAAGGGTGAATTTTAAATAGTGTAAATACTTTGACTATTGCCGTTTTCGCCATGTCTTTGATGATTTGCTTATAACATGGAAAGCAGGCAACTGAGAAGTAGTGTAGGTATTTCTTTTTATTTTTTTGACATTTTCTCAAATCCAAACTTTCAGAAGAAAAAAGTTTTTCTAAAAGATTTATCTTGTCTTTAACTGAATTATATATATATATATATTCGTAACTGTAAACTACTCATATTCTGTACATGCAACCTAGCTAGTTGTTTTTGAAAACGAAAACAATTATTTTATTTAATTTAAACAAATTTGTGGCTCAAAGAAAAAACGCAGTAACCTGCTTGAGTTGCCGTTTGTGTCATGATCATGATCTATCTGACATGACTTGAACGTGCTATGTAGTCAATTTATAAGGTTTTTATCATTATTAGTATTCTTTATTAAATGTCCCTTTTATCTAGCCAAAATCAGTTCCTGAAGGAAATCCACAAGGAAGTGACATCATTTTGGTGGGACAACAACAGTACAAACACCAGTAAGTATCAGTAACCGATTTTATTAATTCTGTGATGTTTTGTAGTAGCTGGTTTTTCTTATCTTAAAACATGACATGTTTGACAATTTTACAGAAATCATTTCAAGCATTAAAAAAAATGACAACAAAAAAACTACTTCACAATGTAAGCTAACTCAATCTCCCACTGATGAGGCTGGCCTGACCTTTACATAAATGACCCAAAATTCCCTTTGCAAAAAGAAGACAAAACCGTCCATCAACCTCTCGATCCCTCTCTACAACCTTTTTAACATATCAGAGTTTACATCAGCCTAACCCCATTTCCTCTATTATATTACCCTCATGCTGTCATATCCCAGAAGCTCCGTCCTCATGAGTTTGAGAACTCTAAAGCAGTTTATTCGGTTCTGAGGCTGCTGTTTTCACTATATCACTCTATGTGATGTGGTCTCAAAACAAACTGGCACCAATAATCAGGTTTCTCAAGTGTGTTTAGTTGTAACTTGTTTATTTTGTCCCTGGTTTTTGTATTGATCTGTGGTAAACTAATGTGGTCCTCTTCAAATGCAACTGTAGCGCACTGTTTTAAATGTCCGTTAATTTGTCATGTTGGCCCTGTCTTCCTCTCGCCTCAAAATTTTACTTCAACTTGGTGCGTTTTTGTCCTGGTAGGTTTTATTTACTTTATTCTTATTGTTCGTTCTTGCAAACCATTTAAACATGGTTATTGCTACAGTAATGAAGAGCATTAAAGATGCCTTACACCTGTGAGAAGGAGTTTTATACTCGGAGGAATTATTTTGTCAATATTGTTCATGTAGTGCATCACACATAGGGAAACCCAGCCATGATTTGCCTCATCTTAATGTTTTGACCTAGAGATGTAATGAAGTTCTAGCTGACAGTGTGCAGTACATTTAGATTTTTTTTGATCTGATGCAGTTCACACCCCATAGCATTTAGAGATCTGCTAGTTGTTAAACCTAGAGGACCCGGAGCACTTGGGCTTAAATGAGAGCTGGAAGTTGTTCACCAAGCTTATCTGCACCCATATCTGGAACTGTGTTTTGGAAATTTATATTGCCTTTTTTTGTTGACAATAAAACAAATGATCATAATTTATTTTCGGTTTAATTTTTTTTTTTCAGTGTCACCAAAAAAAAACACATGTAGCACACTATTATGTAGACCATTTTCCCATTCCTGTCATGTCATTAATAGGATTGGCAATTAATTAAAATATTGGTAATTTAACAATTGAGTGAAAATAAGGGTGAATTTTAAATAGTGTAAATACTTTGACTATTGCCGTTTTCGCCATGTCTTTGATGATTTGCTTATAACATGGAAAGCAGGCAACTGAGAAGTAGTGTAGGTATTTCTTTTTATTTTTTTGACATTTTCTCAAATCCAAACTTTCAGAAGAAAAAAGTTTTTCTAAAAGATTTATCTTGTCTTTAACTGAATTATATATATATATATATTCGTAACTGTAAACTACTCATATTCTGTACATGCAACCTAGCTAGTTGTTTTTGAAAACGAAAACAATTATTTTATTTAATTTAAACAAATTTGTGGCTCAAAGAAAAAACGCAGTATCCTGCTTGAGTTGCCGTTTGTGTCATGATCATGATCTATCTGACATGACTTGAACGTGCTATGTAGTTAATTTATAAGGTTTTTATCATTATTAGTATTCTTTATTAAATGTCCCTTTTATCTAGCCAAAATCAGTTCCTGAAGGAAATCCACAAGGAAGTGACATCATTTTGGTGGGACAACAACAGTACAAACACCAGTAAGTATCAGTAACCGATTTTATTAATTCTGTGATGTTTTGTAGTAGCTGGTTTTTCTTATCTTAAAACATGACATGTTTGACAATTTTACAGAAATCATTTCAAGCATTAAAAAAAATGACAACAAAAAAACTACTTCACAATGTAAGCTAACTCAATCTCCCACTGAGCAACAGCTCTTTAGTTCTTTATTTCCATAATGTTGAGCATCAATTTTATTGGCTTTGTGTAATCAGTAATTATAATTAACTTTCACTACAGCATATTTATGAATGTGTACTTTAAATATTAATGCATTCTGAAATTAAACTTTTTTTTTTTTCAATTTACAGATCTCAAATGGTGCAGAAAACAGAAATATAGGCTTTGCCTGTTTCAAGATGACATAAAACATACAGCTTTTGGAGAAACATTTAGTGTTGCCATACAAAGTTTAAAAAATGCAGGATTGTGGGGTCCAGTTAGAGTCCAGTGATGAGTGAGAAAGTTCGTGTTAAAAGTATGCAGGCTCACTTGAACAGACTCTTCCCAATGTCCATAGCCTGATCAGTGGCACTTTTGGCTGAAGTGTCTGTAGCAGCTTTGCCGATGCCTGCAGACAGAATGTATTAATCGGAGAGTTTCAAACTGGATGAATATGATACTAGGAGAGTTAAATATCTTTCCAAGGTCTCCTATCAAAGGAAACTTAAAATATTACCTCCACCCTCTTTCTGGTCTTTTGCACCTCCTGCCTTTTTCTTGTCTCCTCCAATTATTGCTCCAACTTTCTCTTTGGCAACATCAGCTGTAACATTTATAAAAGTTAATGGTCTTGCCTGTACGTTTAAGGAAAAGCAAGCTTTAAATTACCGAAATTACTAGCACTTCTTGCAATTAATTTAATTTGTTACATTAGTTTTCAGGCATGAATTTCAGGTTTTTAATTTTCAAATGCCATACTGTAACCTTCAACAGTGCATAGATGCATTGAATAAAGCTTATAAAATATGTCTTGAACTTACCAGCCTGATCGATTATCTTGTCCACATGCCCATCCGCTGCACCCTTGATGAAGTCCATGTTTCGTGTCTGATGTCAGTCAGGAACTGTGTGTGCATCAGATATGTTCGTACTTATAGGCTGCTTTGTTTAACATTTTTGCCCCCCCCCCCCTCCCCCCTTCACTGGATGAGAAACACCCTCTCAAACTCATCCACCTCTCTGGCATTAGTCATCTCTGTCACTTCATGTCTGTATTTCTCTTCTCACGCATTAAAGGAGTATTCAGAGCTGAAGAAAGTTATAAATTCAGTTAATTGCTAAAACAAGACATTAAACGTCAATATGAACCCCTCTCAGAAGTATTGTTTGTACTGTATACAGGGTGTGGCATCACACACAATACTAAACTGGAAATACAAGCTTTCACTGTTGGTAAATGATAGTTTGGGTGAATACAGGGTTGCGTGACTCATAAAGGAAGCAGCCTAAGAATTTATGTTGCAAAATGCGTCAAGCTGTAGGCAATTTTACACTTTTACGTTTTTTTGAGATTTACAGTATCTGAAATGATTTGAGATCATTTTCCTAATGTTTTTTTTGTCATGCATTCTGATGCTAAAGAATATGTTTATGGGTGGTGGGTTTGTTGAAATTTAGGTGC